AACAATTTGTTAAAGTAATCTTTAGTGATTTATGAAGTACTATCTTCTATGCCAACTGCTTTAGCTGTTCTTTTGAGTTTCTTCCTATTGTTCTCTGTGTAACTAACTCCTGACTGCCGCAGACATCCATTATGTGTGTCGAACGAGCGGTGCAACTAAATGTGAGGAAAAATAAACAACAAAGTCACGAAATTGTTTATACAATAAATAAAGTGAGTGTGGAGCGCAGCGTCTGCGCCCGAACAGCGAAAGTATCTTTAAGATACAAACAAGCAGCGAGCATTGGCGCACGCATGCCGAACATGCCATCTTCCCAGGACGTTGTGCATCGCCCAGAAACACAGGCAATCTCTCGGATGCGCGTATCTCCACTTGCATGCGGCTCGAATTACAAGCGGGCAAATGTTTAAATACTTGAGTGCTGAGCACGAGCATATTAACTTTTACTCAGCGCTCAGTGTTCGAAATTGTCAACACGACAATTCACTTAGATCTGCACTTCCTCCGGCCACCAGACAGTTTTCCCGTCAACGGCAGATGCAGCCATGTCATTAGGAGCTGGTTCGCTTCTCCCACAGAATTCTAGGCGCCCCGGGAAGAATAGACATTCGTGGGGTGCCGTCAAGTGCGGAATGCCCAAAAGTTGGTAAATTCACGTTCTGCTCGGCGAAATACTGCCACTCAACCTTCCCTTGTCTTCAAATATGTCTGGCAATATAACACGACTCAAAGTTTGATACAGGACATACAAGACCTTGCCATTAATATTTTACTTTGGCAAAAAAAAGGTGATTTAATTTTTATTAATTCATCAAAATTAAATAAATTAGATTACAAATACAAAACATATAATTATGGACATCATAATTTTAAAATAATGGATATTTAATATATTAATTATTATTTCTTAAGCTGTTGATGATATAAATGCAAAGTCGAAGCAAAAGAAATATACATTTTTATTGGGTAGATATCTTTACTAATATTGACACAAGAAGATGGAATTTTTAAAAGTTGAAAAATCTTAAACCATTTATTATTTTTTAGTGGTTTAAAATATTTTGATTTCTTGTACCTTATACTTAAATGTGTAAGAAAATGTATTGAATTTGTTTCAAAATATTTTTTTCTAAAAATAAAATTTGCAAAAATTGGAAATTGTTAGCGATTTTGGTTCGAACTAAATAAATCTTATAAAAATCTTAATAATGTTATTTTTAGCTCTTGAGAAGTTTAATTAAAAAAAAAAAAAAAAAACACATGCTTTATTTCAGCTCTTTAGCTATGCAGGGAAATAACTGACCAAAAATATAGCTCTGTGGCCCAGTGTGAATTGGTGGCACCCAAAAGTATGCTACCTTTTATCACTTTTAAAAGAAAGCCTAAGTCACACTCAAAGCCAAAGACGGTGATAAAATATGTGCTAGGATAGAAAGCGAAACATAGGGAAAATGCAAAGAACTTTCTTTAATTTTTTTCAGCAGGAAAATGGTTGAATCAAGCCGAGCGTTTTACTTGTATCCATTTCCTTAACGTTTAAGGTTATACGCTAAGCTAACCTGTAACAAGCCAGAAAAAGTGATGGTTTCAAATTATTAAAATGAAAATAATTGTTTGGAAATTGCGAAAATATGTATAATAGATTTTTTAAGACTCAAGTATTAATACAAACAAATTTTTTTTGATTATCCCGTTTTATAAAATGGTTAGGTTTTTTTTTTTTGAGGCTTTGCTTAGCAATACCAAATAAAATATTTATTCTGCCAGAGAAAATTGGTAGAAATGAGAAAAAATCTAAAAGGTTTTTAGAGCTAATTAAACGTAGTCAATACACGTTACATCAGTTTTGAGGCCGGTATGTGTACCATATTTGTCCTCAAACATTCGAATCCTATAATTTTTTCTAATAAGTGATTCTGTTTCTCTGTTGGCGGCATTCCACGTTGTAACAAATCGCACCAAGACGGTCAAAAAGGAATGGTCGCAATATCTATCAATTATATTAAAGATCGGACCGTTATGATTGTAAATTGTACAATAAAAATAACTAAATATATAAAACCTTCTTTTTAAATGAGCCACGGAGTAAATTACAAAACTAAAAAATATTCGTTATCCTGTTTTTTAAATCGCAACGCTGCAATAAAACTTGCCTGTGCTCACAAAAAGCTTAGATTCTTTGTTGAAGCGGGACGACAGAGACGATGCTTAATCATTTTTGATATCAGAAATTGTGCATGCTGAAAGTGCGAAAGAGGTGGAGATACAAAACATAAATAATTTTGAAAGTCATTTTCTGAATCAAGGATTTGAAGTGCACCGGAAAACCAAGGTTTGATATCTGTAGGTTTTTGTTAATTTAAGTTTGTAAGCCATTCTATTTAAACATAAATAAACATAAATTAATAAAGACTTTCTACTTTATAAGTAAACAAAATATAGAAAATCAAATATATTTTAATATTTTATTAAAATATAAAAGTTTTATATTAAAACCATAGTAAAAATTACAGTATTAAATAATTTTTATTAATTTGTTTTTAACAAGCCAAAACAAGTGTTTGAGACATGGCAGCACTTGCCAACTGCATGGTTGCTGTCGGAACTAAGTTGCTGATGTCTTGGATTCACCCACAAAGGCGAATTGAAATTTGCCCTGCGTTGCTCTCGCTCGCCGCCAACACGAAAACTACTTCGCTCTGTTCTCCATATCCATTCTGTACCTATTATCCGATGCATGTTATCCATCTCTGAAAACTAAATTTTCAATTTACAACGCCATCTAGGCTAGGTTTTGCGAATGATTTAAAATTAACTCTACTGGCGCCTTGGTGATGATGGTGTTTGCTAAACAAAAAATGTATTTTGGCAAAATTTACATGTTTGATACCAAGATTTCAAAACTTATTTTCTTTACGCTGCTGATAGCAAAACAACAAAAAATGCGTTGTGTACTTCATGACGATTTTCAATGCCCGCGTTGGGAACACTATCAAATGAACCGGTACTTGAGTGGTGGGATTGAACCGGTACATTAGTGGTGGAAACGAAATGGAAACCACGATCTAAACACCGCCACCTAGGAGTCGAAAAATACTTTACTTAAAACATCACAAATATTTATTTATTAATAACTAATATTTATACAAACGAAAGAAACCTTTAAAAGACATGAATTATTTTAAAGAGAAATACGTATTATTTTTTTTTAAATCGAAATATTTAGTTAGATTAACATACCGGTGAACAACATATTTTTTCCAATTCGGCTCAGATGCTAATTTAAGACAACACATATCCAATACAGCAACCACACTATATCGTAAATAGCAAAAAGTTTTCTGAGCTACATTGCGCCTGGCTCGCATTTTCAAAGGACTCAAACATCGCCTTGAATTCACTACTGATGCCAATTGGAAAATTACCTTTTGACATTACGAGCAAAAAAACGATATAAGTTTTTCTTGTTGTTTTATGCTGCATTTCATTCCCACCACTCGCTGACCGGTTCATTTGACAGTGTTCCTGCTCGGGCACCGTTTTAAAGTCATACATCGAAACCTAGCATAGATGGCGCTGTTATATGACAATTTTTAAATGCCGAGATGGACAACGTGCTACGGGTAACTGGTACAGATTGGACCCGGACAAAAAATGGACGAAGGTTTTATGTTTGTAGCAAGCGACATATGCCTGGCAAATTTCAATTTGCCGCTATAGAGTAATCTAAGTCATAAGTAGCCTAGTTCAGACCAACAACCATGACGTAGACAAAGCTCTCATTTCTAAGGGTCTTAAACTTCGCTTTGAATTCGCTACTAATGCCAATTGGAAAACTACATTTTGACCCTACAAGCGAAAAAACAATGTTAATATTAAAATAACCTATTATGTATTCAAATGATTAAATTACTTTAAAAAATTGTGTTATGAGTTTAATAAGAGCATTTGTAAAACCTAAAGTTTTCTGAAATCGTATGATACAAAACTATACGTTTTTACTTGACCCATAGGTGGCAGTTTTTACATTGTGGTTGTTGTTTTATCGACGCATTTCATTCCCACCACTCACGGACCGGTTCATTTGACAGTGTTCCTAACTCGGGCATTGTTTCTTAAATAATTTATCGAAACCTAGCATAGATGGCGCTGTTCTATGGCAATTTTTGTTCGAGTTGGAAAACGTACCACAAGTAATAGGTACAGAATGAATACGGATAACAGAGAGAAGTACTTTTCGTGTTGGTGCAAGCGCGTCATAGGCAAGGAAAATTCTAATTTGCCACAATAGGCGAATTCAAGACATAAGTAGCCCAGTTCAGTCCAACAACCATGACTTAGAAAAGTGCTGCCACGTTTTGGAAAGTTGTCCATAGTTTTTGTGAAGAAGTTAAGCCAGTTTAAATTTAATTTAATGTGTTTTATCTTGATATAAAATATATAGATAATAAATAAATACAATCGTATTTAATTTAAATGAATTAATACTACCTATGACCAACCGAAGTTTTTAGATTTGTTTATCGCTGAATCTTTTATAACATTGTACAGATTTTTCCAGCGGAAAAGTCTGTGTTTTTTTTTTGAGAAATTGAATATATCAATTTATGCCCAACATTCCAAAGATTTTCATTGTTGGTATTTTTTTCATATGTTAAAAGATCAAATTTCATCCAATATGGCATAAAAAGTTACAAATTTAGAAAATTAGATGAAGAAAATGAACAAACTGCTTTTTTCTTGTTGTTGGTTTTATTGACCTTGTATTTTGTATACATAAATCGAAGTGAAAAATACGAGGTCATTTTAATTATTTTTTAGAAATCAATCAGAACTTTAAGGGTTAAGCCATTTTTTTTTTGAAATTTGATACTTTGCGAATATTTTATTTATATTTTATATATACAGATTTTTGCTATAGAGAACATTTTCTCAACTCGATCTTCTTGGTACAAATCATTTACGTCTTATAGCCAACTTTCCAGTAAAGTCAAAAAACCTTTACACCACATACAATTTAATACTTGGTTCATAGCATTACAAAGTAATTTACAGTTAAATAAATCTTAGATTAGACTAACAAACTAAGATGTAGAATAATTAAGCCTAATCCAAGTAGAATTGCTCGATAGGAACGTTCTTAAGTAGCTGATTGGCTAATTTGCCAAATTCACTAGCCAACTTCTTCTGGAGTTGAGCCTGCATGGCCTCCAAGACGATTTGAGAGTTATCTCGTAAGAACAAGTTGGTTGCCTCAACTGGGAAATAAATGGAATTTCGTTATCACAATTGTCTGTAGAAAAATAAGGAAAAACTTACGCAGAATTCGGTTGTTGTTAAAGGCGCCCGATATGCTCATTTTCACATCCTTCACATCCAGAACCAAGCTAAGGGCATCGATGTGCAGGTACTTTCCACCCTTTGCTGCGGGTCTCGACGTCTTGCCTGTGAGGTCGGCACTCACACCCTCGAAATTGGCATGGAAGTCTCCTCCTCCGGAGGCTGGCAGGATCAAAAGGACTCCGGAGCTCGTGTACTTGGCCTCGATCTTCAGTTTGGGCATCACGATCTTCGCCTTGAAGGGCTCGCTGCCATCACTCAGCTTTAAAGATTTCACCTGGAAGTTGCTTGCCCCAAAGGCCTCCATGTTCTTCAGCGTAATCTTATATCCCTGCGGACCCTCGGTCAACTGCAGGGCCAAAGTGTCCATCTTGAAGGGTTCCACGGAGGGCAGCTGAAAAGGGGAGAATTTGATGGTTTATGCAAACAGACTTATAAGTGGTGCGATGTTATGGATCAGATGTCTTCAGAAGTTGCGTAACATTATTTAAGAATATAAATTGACTATTATATTAAACTAATATTCAAACTTGGTTTGTGAAAGTCAATAATTAATTCTGTGTACATAAACTTTAAGCAATGTTATCTTATGTTTGACAGAAAAACTTGTATGTAGCGTTCTAATATTTAAAGTGTTTCGATCTTGTCTTTGCCTGTGTTTATTTATCTTGTTTTCACATTATTGCCTCGTATGTAAAGTTGATTGCTTTTACTATGAATGACCCTTTGAATAATTCAATATTTTCTTGAGAGCAATGACAACTTAATAAAGTAAACTCGCCACATTGAATGACCTTTAACTGCAAATTCCTAAGTTCATTGCACCACTGTGCAGAGAAAGAGCCTCACCACTTCCGCAGATTTTTCACGCGAAAACAATCATTATGCAAGTGCGAAAGCCCCAGTGACTTTCATTCGATTGGTTTCTTATGCAACTGAAAACTCGTTTAAAAAGAAAACACTCAAAAGAAAGACAGGCGCAGTAAAGTGTGAAAACTAATGAACTTCGATAGAAAAGTCACTCACCTGAATGTCGGGAATGCCATCGGCCAAGTAGGGCTTTAGGTGTTCAATTGCTCCAATAAAACAGTCCACCAATTTGGGGTCTTCCCTACGGCATTGTTTGATATAGGCGGCTGCAAAATATCAAGAGGTAATCAAAAATTGAGTCCATAAAATGTTACCTTATATTTAGCTTTATTTATTCGTGCACCCATTATTATTATTATTATAAACTTTAAAAAAAACTGGAAAAACAAAATACTTAAGGCAAGCTTAGTTTTTTTTAAATTATGACTGTCAAAAAAAAAATCAGTTTATTATTATTAAAGTTCATACTTTTATAAGTTTGTTGATGTTATTTAATTTCAGCTCAGTCGGAAGATAAACACTGTGAAGTGTCAACAAAGTAGAAGATCAACTTCAACCGCAGACTCAATTCCTGTAAAGTTCATCGACTCTACAGACGAGCTCGAAAAATCAGCTCGAAACCACAGCGACGACCTTGAAACCGATCGAGATCGAAATCAAGATCTCGATTCGATAGCAAGGTTGCCAAGGAGTGCACCCTAGAACCTGTTGTAGTCGCAATTCTGTGGCACATGACACACATTCGTGGCTACTAAGGTTATAGTTATAGCTGGTTTATCATTATGGTTGTACCTGGGCAATTTCATTAGCGTCATTCGATGGCAAGGCGAGCTGCAGCGGGAGCGATTAAAATTTCAAGTTGAAGGCTGTTTGTTCAACGGCCACGGCTCACGTTAATTAAATATGGATTTGGTTCATAGTTTGCATTTTGAGTTTTGAGTTTTGAGTTTTTAGTGCTTACATTTATACATTTCGAATGCGATGCGGAAGCAAAGTCTCTGTTGACACTCATCGGCAGAAAAGCCGGGCTTTTGTCCCCCTTTTCGGTTTTGTTTCGCTCATTTGTCTAACAAAACCATGTCGCCTATCGCAATTAGCACATTGACAAATGGATAGATTTCAACCACTAGTGGTAAACTTGACATTTGACATATTCCCGATGATTCGATTGCATTCTTTGTACACACAAGGTGTGAAAACCAAAATAAACACCTTAGAAATTGAATAAGCCGGCTGTTGGTACTTCATACATTTCTTTGGTGACTAACACAACATCATTTACTTAACAATTAAATTAAATTACTGTACATTAAAGGGTGGCTTTTGTACACAAATTATTATTATTATTAATCACCGTCGTAAATTTAAATAGTTAATTCTATGTATTAATAAAACTTTACTAACAAACATAAATTACAAGTATATTTATTGCTGGGTATTTACGAATTTGCTTTCGCGAACAGAATTTGTACTGCTTACAGTATAGGCTATAAAGTTAAAAGAAATTTTAATTGCTAGGTTGGGAGAAAACTGCTTGAACTACTAAGGTGCCAATTTTAGTGCCATATAACTTTTTACATACTGTATGATTAGTTTGAACTGCAATATTATTTGTGTTTTACGTTGTCTCTAAATACATTTGTCAATACTGTTAAAACCTAGAATATTCATAGTTTTAAATACTCTTTTTTAACATAAAAAAAACCAATACAAGTTGAAAGTACAATCCCATATTATTTTCTGTTTATTAGGTATCTAAACAGCGTTTTAATTTTAATAGTTTGATTACCAATAAAAGAATGTTAAATAATTTGGATGAGTGTTCTACAATTTCAGTTATGGGCTGTCCTTTCTTTTCTACTGATCATGGTAAGTTAAGTTATCAATTCGGCATAAAAATACTTTTCCTAATATAGTCATTGTCTAAATAGGATTTTTCATTAATTTCATTATGATCCTAACTTACGGGTCTCGGCGGTTACTATCCAAAGAGCTTGGATCACAATCACTAGGCACACAGATTTCATCATTTTGGGTAGAATCACTTAAGAACAATTTATAAATTATGTAAATTAATGCAGCCACACGCAACGGAGTCAGAAATACTAGGATTATAAAATATTTGTGAGTTGACTGGTCGAACGTCCGTCGACGCGAAGCTGAGAACTTAAACTGCGAGCTGTTTGCCGGTCGATCGTCGATTTTAAAGCCCCTAAAGCTGCAGATCGCAGTGGAAAATGAAACGAGATGCAAACCAAGCCGATCTCAAGTCCCGCCGTCGACGTCTGCGCCGGCAGAGAACTTCCAATTTGCCGACCTGGGTATATAGTAGTACTAGTATGTAGAAGCTGGTGGATCCGAGGGCCTAGGTTTAGTGACTGACCGACCGAACGGGCTACTCTCTTCTTGGTTTTTTTTTGACTACTGTGCAAAATTTTGGTTTGTTTGCCCATTTGCCGAGTGCCAAAAAAAGCAATTAGGTAATTCTTATTTTGCAATTGACTGCAAAGATGCAGATTTCCAAAACGGGCGTTACGGCATCACCTGATGGACTTCACATGTGGTTAACCCTCTGTCTATCGACCACAAAGAAACCCTGATTGAGGTTTGAATAAGAAATTAATTACTTCTAATTACTCATAAAGTCAAAAAAGCCAAATAACATTAAATCTAAGCTTGGCTACACGAAGAAGAAACAACCAATTATAAATAAACCATAAACTTGTGGATTTGTGCAGCTTCCTTTTGTTCTACTAGCCTTGAGATAAATAGAATATAAGTCTTCTGAAAACCGTAACAAGGCAAGCTGGGCAACTAAACCGCATTACCTGTACTCGTGAAAATATCTCCGCCTCTAATTAAAAACGTGTGTGACGCTTTAATTGTCCATTAAAGTGAGATAATAAGATGTGTGCTTATAAGGCTGGACGAAATCAGCTTACACTGAATTTTAAAATACTCTGCCAAACGGATTGCACCAATCTTTGTTGTGCACATAAAAAGAAGAAACTATGATAATAATATTTGGAAGGAAAAGGGTCTTGCTCAACATAGTTTTTCAACATCAGCTATTTCAGTTATTTCATTTCACCTTTTATTGATACTGGTACTGATACTGGTGCTCATTTAAGTTCACAATTTAAGTGATTGGTTGCTAAGCAACCTTGCCAATAGTGACTCAGATGTACAACGACTATTTAAATAGTTAACAAGTTTGCTCACTGGCAGTGGATTAAAAATGCAAAGTGTAAGTTGAAAAATGAAAATACTTTTACTCGTTGTTCATCGAAATATAATCCTCACGCCAAAATGAATTATTCATGTGTTGAACTGGTTCCATCATAGATCTACTAGATTCTTGATATACCAGTCTATAATACATAGATAAGCGGGAGTTCAATTTTGCAAAATTATTAAGCCACACAGTTAGCAACCATGGTTAAACTGCAACTCAAATATTCGTAGGAGAATGGTAGCTTTTGTATTATTAAAATAATTTTATAATAAGATATATTTATAATAATAATAATAATTAAGTTCATAGTGACATAATTGTTTACCTTTGGGTCCGATATATAAAAGTCATTGAAGTTTAAATAACTAACGAATTGATTTCCGAGTTCGTTTTTATTTATTCACTGTGTGTCAGTTATCTTCACATAATTTTGCGGGGAAACCAAAGCTCTCATATGGCCCATACTTTGCACTGTGATCGGAACACACTGAACTCTTAAACTGTTTACAATGGCCCTGAACACAAACAAATAGAGTTATGGGACGTATCGGGGAACTCGACGGGAAGACTTATTTGCTATACAAAGGCCTCTTCGTCGATTCTAAAGCCTGTTGTCATGGCTGGCTCACAATGCTGGTAGATGTGGTTATAAATACATCTAAGTATAAATAAGTATCTGTACAAAAGACAGATGAGAATAATGGCAAACGCGTGGTGAAATGCAAAAAGGCGGAAGAAAAACATATATTAAAAATTTCATTGTTTTAATTTTTTTTTTGTCTTGCTATTCTCATCAGTTCCCACATGACTTTGATATTTTCCTTATGGTATACACAAGCCGTATTGTGAATTATCCAAGGGGTAAAGTGCAAAAGTTAAGATGACACCAAATATTATGGCAAGTTTTTTTAATGAAGATTAATACCTTAAAAAAGCGTAAAAAAATTATAATTTTTCGAGTTATTAAATTATCACATTCATTGAAAAACAAGTTATATCAGACACTGTGGCATATTCTACTCAGAATCACTTTCAATTCGCACTTCATTAGGGTATATTGGGGCTTTAGCTTCCTTGTGACCCAGAAATATGTCATTCAACTACCGAACAAAAGGGAATGGTCCAGCAATTGCATTCACAGTCGAGTGCTTTTTGAGTTGTTGACCCAGTCACCGATCCACCTTGACCTTGAGTGCGATTCTCCACACGCAGCCCAGTGCTGCCGGCAGAATATGTGCTTCTGTGTCGCACGTATTTTTTTTTCTTGAGCATTTCTTTTAAGGTGGGCACACTGTCTTGAGTATTGGCTTGTATCTTGATTGTAGTCCTTTTAAATATAATTAAGATTGATTTGAATTAAAGGCACCACCAAGTCAGTTTTACTTTTATTATATGCTATGTTTAGTTTTTCGACTGTTTCTAAATATATACATAAACATTTTGTAATCGATTTTTTTCCTTTTTATACCCTTGCAGAGGGTAATATAATTTCAGTCAGAAGTTTGCAACGCAGTGTATATGTTCGTGATCAGCATCACTAGGAGAGTTCATCTTGCCATATCTGTCCGTCTGTCTATCCGTCCGTTTCTACGCAAACTAGTCTCTTAGTTTGAAACCTATCTGCATGAAACTTCCCAAAAGTTGTCTTTCTATTGCAGGTATAATTTCAGTCAGAAGTTTGCAACGCAGTGTATATGTTCGTGATCAGCATCACTAGGAGAGTTCATCTTGCCATATCTGTCCGTCTGTCTATCCGTCCGTTTCTACGCAAACTAGTCTCTTAGTTTGAAACCTATCTGCATGAAACTTCCCAAAAGTTGTCTTTCTATTGCAGGTAGTATATAAGTTGGAACGAGCATATAGCTCCAATAGGAACAATCGAAAAAATAATTTAAAAAAATTATAACTTTACTGTTTTTTGTTTTTAGTTCTTCGACATGTAGTAATGGTTAAATATTTCAGAATTACGGTTTGAATTTGATCAAAACCGGACGACTATATTATATAGCTCCAATAGAAACAATAACATTATTTTAAATAAATATATATTATTTAAAATGTAACTTTTCTGTTTTTTATTTATTTTTTTTTTTAATTCTTTTTGACCTAATATTAATTTTACAGTTCAGAAAACAATATCATATAGCCATAGGAACTATCGAATAATTGAGCTGCAAGTCATCATAGCTTCAATGGTTTTAAACATATACGCAAGTAAATTATAGTTTTAAAGTTTTCAAGAATATTTAATTTTTGAACTGCAATTGTATAAGAAATTCCTTTCTTTCTTGTTATTTTTTAACTATTAATTGCCTGACTCTGCGTCTGCATAACCGAAGAATGAAGATTCCTAAAGATTTGAAAGAAGAAAATATAAATTGTTTCATTTGTTTGCAATTAAATTGCACTTTACTTTACTTTATATCAATCAATGGTTTTAAAAATTACTCCAATAACAGGGTAGATAATTGATCTTATACTAGATATATATGAATTCTCAAAATAAGAATTACATATACATCTAAAGGCACACTATATAAAAAAAGTAAATGAAAGTGATTATTAAATAAATAATAGAAGAAATCCGTTCATTCTAAAAGTGTACATTTAAATAATGACTTGAACGACTTAAAAAATTCTACTTAATACAAAATGTGTAAAATGTATGACAAACTAAAATTATTTTTACAAACTACAGAATCGATTAGTACTGAATGGCATACTTTTAGGCGCCAGGCTAACAGTGAAGGGCAATAATTTTGAACATATCGGGGTTTGTCATCTTATGTAGTTTTTATTCATCTTTCTAACTTTTGTATTTATGGATAATTATTTATTGAAGAGCTTATTTTATTTTCCTTATTTATTAATTTTAAAATAACCAAATTAATTTTAAAGCCATCAACTTGCTTAGGGAGCACTTTTTAAATTGGTATACATTAAAATCACATTCATATTTTTCTTTTATATGTCATTCTCATCCTGTACTACTTTTTTTTTTTATTGAGAAAATATTATAAAATTTCATTGAATTTAAACGTCGTTTCAAAATTTTTACAAGATTGTGGTTCTAAGCTCATTGCTCCCTAAAATTTCCTACAAGTCCCTCACGAATGACCATGCGTTTCCACCTCAAATTTTCAATTTAAATGCAAAACGAATAATGGTCAATAATCGAAATTATTCTTGACAGTCCATAAAGTTCCCTGAAAAGTTTTGAAAGACAATTGCATTTCATTCGAGGGCTTGTCTCCATCAACAAATCGACTTGCCGAGCAAATATATATATCTGATTTATTAGGGTTAACACACTCCCCGGCTGGTTCAATGCATTTGTGGATGTCTGTACGGATGGATGTGGATAATGAGTACCCATTACCACACTGGGCTCTTAGGATGTTCTTGGTCCTAATCGCACAGCTTGACCTTTAGGCCACAAGTGGAACTGCAAGAGACAGAAGAGCAAAGGGTGAAAACAGGAGAGAGTGCGGTACAGTGCTAATCCCAGCTTGGAGAATCGCTAATGATGCCAAGCCGCTGGGATGATTCATGACAGCCTCATTACCAACCGGCAATTGCGGCTGTGGGAGGTTGGGCTCCGAGTCAGAGACCCTTTAAACTTAACCTTCAGGCCTCCAGCCCGGGCAACTTTACACAGAGAAAAAGCTTACAGTTCAGATTTATTAACCAAACGAAGAAAGGGCCAAGACCGGTTTTTAAGCTTCTGCAGAACATAGTCATCCAATTTGGACCACCACCACCAATTTAGTTTTGCTCTGATCGTTTCAATAGCATTTGATTTTAAGCTTGACCTTTATAAAAATAAGATTAAGAAATATTTTCCCATGTCACTGACTACTAAATCAAAAGAAAACAATTTTTTATTATGGTTATATTTGTAAGTAATGAAAAATAAAATAAACATTTTTTAATTAAAATCACTTTTTTT